GGCGAATCCAAAGACGTTAATCCAATCATTGGACAATTGAATCTATGCTTGAACGCGAGGAATGTTGGCATCATGTACTCAACCATCAGAAGATCGAAATGCTCGTTTTTATCATTAATTAGTTTATGCACTTCCGGATGTTTTAATTCGTAAATGGTTATGTCACTTAACATGAACATAAATTTGGTCATCAATTTAATTGGATTTTTGTTACTCTCATTAATGATTTTTGTAACATTGTGTTTGTTATTCCAAAGTTCATAGGCGTAACTCACGTCAATTTGTTTGAAATTTCTTATTTCCTCTTTTAATGGATCTGTGGTTATTACGACTACTTCGTGTCCTCTCTTCGCCAATTCCTGCATGATTGGAAGGTAAACAATTTGATGGCTGTAGGATGGAATTGGAAAGACGCCCAAAATACGAGCGGCATCCCCGATGGATGCCAGTAACAACAAACTATAAGCAACAATCGGATTCATTTTGTGCACTATACACTAATTAGACTCGTAAAATGATTTTACAACGTAAATACTCCAATATTGATAATCGTGCTAAGCGCTGATATAAATTCAAAAATAATAAGATAAATATGATTACTATCAGATTACTATCAAAAACAACTAGATTTTGTATAAAAATGAAACGTTTCATAAATATTATAATTAGATTTATCAAACGAACAAACTTTGATAACATCCAGATAATCGCTTATTGATTATATTTAATGTTTAAAGAATATTTATTAACATTTTTGTATAATGACAGTGACGGTTCATTGAACTTTAGTGATTTTAGTCAATGAAACTTGGATCAATCGGGAATTTACGATAGTCTGGTTTGTGAATTTTGATACAAGTGCAAAATAAAAAATACATTTTAGTAAAATTGTATATAAAATTATATTTTCTATACAGAAATGTACGTTTTGTTATTGATGCAGTCAAGTCTTCTGTCACTATAAATAAATTTGGTAATCATTATATTTGATACTAAATATTTAACATGAATTTAGTCTCAGGGCTTAGCAACATTTTCTACTTATAGGGCATATTTCAGAAATACGGGAGTTCAGCGAGCACAACTTGAAAATATTACTATGTCAGCAGGGAAGTAACATCCAAATATTTTATGTGTGTGCTACTACAAATTTTTGTTCCTCAAATTTGACCGTGTTTCTCAAATTTTTGACATCTGCTTTCTCCTTCTATTTTTGTAAGACTGAGTATTATTTTTTTACTACAATTTTTATTTCATAACAAAATAATAATAAGCAAAAAATAAAATTTACTCATAATAAAATATAAATCAAATGAGCCGACAAATCATCATAATTTGTTGCAGTTGCAACCAGAATGTTGTTAATCGGTTTAGAATTTTCCCTCGAGATAGCTAACGAACATCGGTAACTGAGTATGACTACTTACAATTTTTTATACATTTACGAAAACAGTGGTGCATTGAAAGAACGGCCTTTAATTTAATTTTCACGCTTTCATCCAGAACTTTCTGTAGATCAGCGGATATCTTAAGTATTGCTAGCGCCTCTCTGTGTATGCAATAATGTTTGGATATTACATTTGTGGCAACATACTGAATTCTTGTAACGAGTTCTTTATTAATTCCAACCATACTTTTTGCCCCAATTTATTTAAAAAAAATAGATTGATTTATCTTTTGTTGTTTGTCTCATTTGTTAGATTTTCAGAAAAAATGAAATATTCTCTAGTCCATGAGAATCCAAATTTAATTATTTTCTGTTCGTTCATTGTTTAATAATGACTACTTTCTTTCGATTTAGATGTTCCAGATTTCAAGCAACTCCATACTCTTGATTGAAAAATAAAATATATATAAGAGAAAAATAACAATTGTTACACGACTGGTGCTTCGTGTACGAAAAAAATACTAATGTAAAAAATCTTCAAAGTCGGCTAAGCACAAATTCCTTTTATTGAGAGGATGAACTCTAATAACTGCTTCCTTATGATCAGCAAACTTCTTCTCCGACAGTGGGCCTTGGCTCCTCGAGAGCAACAACACCGTCGTTTGGAGCACACAAATATATATTCTTCATTCATTTATTTATTTATAAAATTAAAATAGCAACAACACCGTCGTTTGGAGCACACAAATATATATTCTTCATTCATTTATTTATTTATAAAATTAAAATAATACATAATATAGGGTGTGATACAAAAATGTAGACTGTTATGGGCTTTAGCCTCTTTCAGCCTCTTAATAACAGAAAGTTTTACAAAAAAAAAAAAAAACATCAACAATAATAATAAAAAAAAAAACAGAGATAATAACACAAATATATATTAGTAACAATCACTTCACTGCACGAATGTTTTACATCACTGAGGGGGAGTGTTTTTTAAAGTCTTGGAAGAGTTGTATTAATGTGAGGTCGTTGGAGTTAGCGTAGGACGCCAGCACGGCAGGGGGGTGAAGGATTTTTTTCCTTTGGGACTTTGGAGAATTTTGCCCCTAAAGGGGGTTTGAAGAGTGAGAGGGTGGGGTGATCTTGAAGGGCTATGCGTGAAGCGAGTCGGCCTTGGAGTTTTTT